AAATCTTCTTCTAAAGGAATTTCAGTCCCCCTTTTTGCTTTGGTGAGGAATTGTGATTTTTGTCAAAGACCAAAGTGGTTTCAAATAATGAGATGAGCAGCAGTTTCTTCATGAGAAAAATTTGGATGTTTTACAACTATTTCAGTGGGTTGGGGGTTTTCAAACTCTTGGAACTAAAATGTCTCCATAGCTGACTCACAGGATTATAGAATAGAAACGTTTTTATTATGCAATTTCAGCCCTTTAGAATTTGATACTGAGCAAAAATAAAAATAACCCTTTAACGAGTAGTTTAGAATTCACCAGTGTCTCCCACAAAGTATTTTAATGTGGCTAAGAGTGATGTCAGTAGAATATTTTTTTCTTCATTTCAATCCTACGTACCTCCTTGCAGTTTAAACAAATTAAATCCACATGTGTTAAATCTAAAATTGGTAGTAGAATTATGCATAAAATCTTAATTCACCATAGGAAATGCCATGGTAGTTTTCTAATTTCCCCCAATTAGTAAAGAATATCTATGACCTGGACATCATCTGCTTGCTGTTTATTCACTTAAAACAAAACAAACTCAACTTTGCTTTAAATCTTCTAGAAATAAACAGTTACTTAAAGCAACTGTTGTTACTCTTTAGTCCTGACTGTAATTGTAGGCTTTTATTATCCACTGGGAAGGTCCTTATCTGGAGCCTAATATGAACATGGGTTAAGAGAAATAGAGAAAGCTGCCGTCTTCTTGCCCAAGAAATAAAGCAGAGAGAAGTCAGAGGGCAAAGTCTCCTGCTTTGGGAACTGAGATGGGAAAGGAAGTAGATGGAATGGTTTCCCTTTCCATCTCCCATCATCCCTTGCTCCTTTTCATACCCCTATCATTAGAGGAAATGCTGTTGTTTTGAAAATAAGTGAGAGGAGAAATATTTCAAAACATGAGAACACTTACAAGAAGGACACAAATGGATTGTTTGAAATATGGTACTTTTAGAATTTAGCATCTAAATGTGTTCAGAATGTGTTCAGCGTGCTATATTTCATAGGACTCTTCACTTGGCTTGTGCTATAGAGTAGTGAGAGTTTTTGGTGGAAGAGCCAGAACTCACTCACCGACATCAGACATTTCAGGGACAGTGGCCGTGTAGACCTCCTTGGTGAATATTGGTTCATTGTCGTTGATGTCATGGATCTTGATGATGAATTCAGACTCAGGCTCCACAGGTCTTCCTGTCCTTCTGTTTACAGCTTGAGCTCGAAGTATGTAAACAGGTTTTTCTTCCCTGTCTAGCCTCTTGGTGGCCTGTATATCACCTGTGTTTTCATTGATAATGAAGAGATCTCCTGCTCCATCTCCTGAAAGGATATATTTAAGTGATCCATCTCCTCTATCCTGGTCTGAATGTAACTAGTGTAGAAAAAAAAAAAATTAAAGAAAGTAAAAGTCAAGCAAGTGATCCTACAATATTTTTGCCTTTATGATGCATGCTATGATAACTTTCATTTAACCCTGGGTAAGTGATTCAGGTTTCTTTCTTTTTATCATTTACATAAATCCTTAGCAGTGAGTGGCATTCATTAATGAACATGTCTTCTCATAATCATAGAATTTTCCAGAACTGGAACAGAGCTTGGGGATAATTTAATAATCCTTCTTTTAAAGAAGGGGCCAGAGCAGTAGCATGACGCCCAAGGACATATTAGCTTGGCTAGAACCAAACTCCTATTTTCAGTACATCATGACATTATCTTATTTGAACAGGTTTCAGATTTTGCTAATGAATGCACCTCCTCATTTTTATGTACAGAACTAATAAACTAAGTAGAGAAGTAATACACTATTGAGAAAAGGGCTTGAATTTTTGAGTTAGGGAGACCCAGGTAGAGTCAACCTGTTCATTTTACTATCTTAGATCTGGATGGTTCAAACCCACCAGCTACTCCTCGGAAGGAAGTTTGGGCAATCTACTTCCGTGGTGATATTGCCTCGGCAACCCAAGGAGGGGTTGCTATGAGTTGGGTCCAACTCGACAGTACATAACAACAACAACAACAACAGACCTGGGTACAGTCAACCTGTATATTTTGCTATCTTAATAAATTTAAGGAAGCTAGTCAACCTCCTTGAGTCTAATATGATGATTATAATCACTTTCCTGGGAAGATATGCATAATCATATATAT